CCACCAGGAAAAGCCTGTATGCATCTGTGTACAGTACAATACAAAAAAAAAAAAAAGGTTATGGGGATAAAATTATATTTAGTATGCATAGTATGTCATTTATTTTGCTATATGTAAATATGCATTAAGTTCTGTGATCAATGCACATAAGCAACCACGTCATTTTTTAAACTATGTCATGAACAGGAGTGGATTCATAAAAGCTTTTCTTCTTTCCAATCCTTTTCAAGAAATGTGCTTTTCTGTTGTTTACAATGTATATGTAGTATGTGTATGATTACTGTTTCTCTATTGGCACAAACGAATCAATAAAAAACAGATCAATTAAAAAAAGAAATGCCAATTTTAATCACCAAAACAGTGAAAATGTCAAAAGTTTTGCATAAACGAGTTTCCTTCCTCTAAACAAGTAACAAAACTGTAGCACTGTAACAAAATAATTTAGTAAAATATACCTGTATAAAAAAACATGGGCGACATATCGAGACAGCAGCCCATGATATCGCTACTGTATCATCACATTAAACCATAAGATATATCGATATTTTGATATTTTTGCACACCTCCAGCTGCAACTAACGATTATTTTACTAATCGATTAATCTAGTGACTATTCTTTTGATTAATTGCTTAATTGTTTAGATTGAAAAAGGCCTGTGAAGATGAGATTGTCCTGAATGATAAAGCTTAAAGGTACATTGTGTAACTTTTTGATTGGGGGTCCGTCACCTGCTTGTTTCTATGGATATGTCACTGCTCTGCCTGGAATGTTCCACAGTATGACATTAAACAGCTCTATCTTACATTTATTTAATTACAGGTGGTTTTATAGCTCAAAAAAGCTACAAAAACTGGCATTCTGTCTGTGAGCGGGGTCACCTCCTCACAGATCTGACCTGTAACTTTGTCTGGTTTGATCTCCATGCGATAGAAAGTTTCAATGTCATACTGTGAAACATTCCAGACAAGGCAATAACATCTCCACAGAGAAAAACATCTGATTAATCCTCCACCGGAAAAGTTACACAATGCATCTTTAAGTAAAGCCTCTTGGTGGAACATGACGAAACCGTGCTTTCATCAAAAACACATTTCCTGGGTTATTCGGCTTCCTGGTCTGCGATAAAATCTCTCCTCTCAGCTCACGACATGTTTGGAGCCTATGTATAAACCAGTTAACGACTTTTTGATTACGTTAATAGTTATTTCAATATTCTACTCAATTAGCTGTGATTAATTGATTAACTTGTTACAGCCTCACAATTAACTTCATATAAACTTTCAGCAATTTAATAAGAACTGTTACTGTGTCTGTGAAGTAAATATAGACGATAAATGATAATATTATTACTAATCACTAATTTATGCCGCTGACACAAAAACCCAAGAGCAGATTTAAACCACAAAAATTACTAAAATGTACAATACAGTTAAAAATTATCAGTTGCAATACTTAAATAAAAGAATGAAACATTTTAGTAACATTTTATAGCTTAAAGATGCAATGTGTAATGTTTCTAGAGGATCCATGACCATCTTATCTCCACAGAAATGTTATTGCTTTGCTGGGAAAATTCCAGCTTCTTTCATGGACACCAAACTAGACCAAGTTACAGGTCAGATCTGTGGAGAGGCAACCCCACTCACAATCAAAATGCTAGTTTTTCAAGCAGTTTTTGTGCCGTAAAACCACCTGTATTTGATATCAAACAGCTGTACCAGACATTTATTTATACTGTGAAACGTTCCAGTGCAATAAATAGCTATAGAAACTGGGTCTGGGTGACCACGAGATGTCCCTATTTACCCGAAAGAGTCCCAGTTTTGAGCCCTGCGCCCCCTATCCCAGCAGATTTATCAAAAAACAGTGATTTATACCAGTTTTATACAAGAAATGTCCCAGGTTCCCTATTTTTGGCCAATTTGATACCTGCCAATAGTAAAGAGAGGCATAAATTGTCACTTGTAAAGTACAGAAAGCTGATTAAAAATGACCAAAACACAAAGAAAATCTGACTATACTGACTAACATGTTAGTCATGAATGAGTGCATAACAAGCTTCCTTAATTCCGTACTCATTTCACAATTTTACTATTACTAACCACTCCAAACCGGGCGTGTCCCAGTTTTTGGCCTTGGCTTTGTACAGCTCCCGGCAGCCCTTTGGTTGACTCTGACCGGCCCTTTTAAACTAATCAGGAATTACAAAGTAAACACATTTTATAATTTCACCATGCATGGACTAAAGCTGCATTGCTTTTATTTTAGAGGTGTTTTTTTAATGACATTTTTGTAAGACTTTTTCATTGCTTAGATCATAACACACAGCAAAAACTAAAATCTAGCCAAGTTAAGATGACTTCAGTTTAGCATGTTTGATCATGATTTGAGCAAATTTGACTTCAATTAAGCAAGTTTGATCATGATTTGAGCAAATTTCACTTGAAAAGTAAAATTATCTGCCAGTGGAACAAGAATTTTTGTACTTAAAACATGAAAATACGTCGTGCTACACTTAAGATAAGAAAAAAGTACTTTTTGCACTTAAAATGGGAAACAAAGAAATAATGTTTGAATTAAGAAAAACACACTTATTCCACTGTTAGGTAATTTTATTTGTCAGCTGAATTGACTCAAATAAAGTAAAATGTTCTTAATTTAAGTCATTTTAACTTTCTTAGTTATTGCATAAACTCTTAACAGTCTTACCTGTGGCTCAAAACAATGCTATTTATTGCTTTTTATAAAGAAATACAATTAATATTATGCAGAATTGAGTTAAGCATTTTAGCCCAGCCCTCCACAGTATTTTTTGTTTCTCATGTGGCCCCATGGTAAAAATTATTACCCATCCCTGACCCAGACAGACTCCCAACAAAAAAGTTACATAGTGCATCTTTAAATCTTATCGTATAGCCAAAAAATTTCTCAGTAGTGCAAAGAAAGAATGCATACAATAAATAGTCTATATCATATAATGAAAAATAAGTTTGTACTAGTCTGTAGTTGCCGATTTATCATGACAGGCCTAGTGCAGTGTTTCCCAAAGACTGGGTTGTGACTAGAGCCCGACCGATATATCGGTTGGCCGATATTATCGGCCGAATTGAGCACCTGGAAGCATATCGGCTATCGGCCGATATACTTGCTGATAGGGGCCGATATTTCACGTGGGCATGTTATATGTCGTTATAAAGCTTAGACTCTCTACATTATGTTCATTTAATCCAATTTACAGTCAGATAAATGTCCAAATATGTGGCTCCGCATCAGTATTTATCTGCGGAGTAATTTGTCTGTGTGAGAGTCACATGCGTTTGTTTACATCTGCAGACACAGATCCAAACACTGGGATTATTTTCTTTTTACGGACAATCGGTTTGAGTCTGGATTAAAAGGACATTTATTAGTGCAGACTTGTGATGTGAGGAGAAGCCTGTGTGAGCGGTGAGTGTTGGAAATATGTCGACTTTGAAGCAAGTTTTTGGTTAGCGGTTAGCTGCTGTAGCTCCCACACATAAATAGGCCGTTTTCTATTGGTCTATTGTAAAGTGATTATATTGGCCATATATTTGTTACTGGACCTGCATTGTTGCCTAAATAAACCCAGTTTAAAATCCACAAGAGCCAAACCACATTTTTTTTTTTTAATAATTCAAGATTTACAGTGAATTTTTACATCACTAAATATATCGGTGATTATATCGGCTATCGGCAGCTCCAACTAACATTATATCGGTATCATATCGGCCACAACAAAATCCATATCGGTCGGGCTCTAGTCGTGACCCTCAGGTGGGTCGCAAGAGATTTTTTTTTTGGGTCGCCTTGTCACAATCTGCATGTAGGTCTGAAATACACAGCTGTGACCTCATTGTCATTCTGGATAAGCATTTCCTCAGAATATTCTGTCCTCAGTAGGGCCAGTATTTCTATGCTAATTCTTTTCAGTACGACATGTATGTGTGAATTGGGATTTTCTGTGCTCACAAAAATGAAATCAAAGCACTGAAACCTCGTGCACCCCGGACTGGAACACGCTACAAAAACAGACAGGTCCACCTATCTCATATGACTGAAAGGTTTTCATTCCGCACTCTTCTCTCTTATTTATATCTCTCTTTTTTAAATTTTAATCTTTATGATTATTTATGTTTTGATTTGTTTTTATTATGATTTTAATGTATTTCTTATTCTGTAAAGCACTCTGAATTACTTTGTGTACAAATTGTGCTATACAAATAAACTTGCCTTGCCTCATTAGAAATGTTAAGACTTGTTTTATATAATTTCTAATCTTTTTGTAATTATGTTGTTGACCATTTTGTTCCAATATTGCTGGTTCAATTGAATACTGAAAAGAAAAAGAAATGGCCGACTGTTTTTCATTGATTAAAACTTGAGTGATACTAATTGTTCAGAGACACGATCACTCAGTCAACAATAAAATGTCCTCATTAATGTTCAATAAACGTCAAATCCACCTCTATTCAGTGATTTATGAATAATGTCTATTGACTTGGGTCGCGAAGGTTTGTAACTTTAAAAATATGGGTCCTCAGAAAAAAAAAAAAGTTTGTGAAACACTGGCCTAGTGTTACAGTCTTTCCTGTCACTTTCACTTGAATCACCACAGATGCAAACGCCCCATGAAAACAGCGAAAACACAAAAACGGGATGCAACTTTTTCACAACGCTAAAAAACTTCAACATATGCTTAAATTCATTCTTTTTTGCACGGTTCATAGTCGGGGATTTCAGTACGTCAAAACATGCCACAAACACGCTACATTCAATAAACTAACGGTATAGTTTGAGAGAAAAGGAAACGTCAAGTAGCGTATAAACTTTTTAGTCGACGTAAGCGTGGTCTCGTGCACATCCTCTCGGCACGTAGACGTAAACAGCGCGCGCTTTAGCTTCGCGGTGTAGTTTAGCGAAAAAATCAGCGCGTTAAATAAGTTTGTTTTGTTATAATATCGTAATAACGTTAACTTACGGGCAGCTTGTGGCCGCTCCTCCTCCGCTTGGCGTGTTGTCTTGTCTCTATGAAAAAACAAAACAAAAACGGGCTGTGATGCGTTCAAGTGCTTTCGTTTGGGTTAGCACTGTGGGCGGTAGGTGAGGAGAGTAAGTTCACACGAAAAGGATATTTCGGTTTCATATATTTTTATTCATGTGCAAACAGATATAGATATGTCACTCAAACAACACATGTAAACACACTTTTTTCTTCTATTTTATTTTTTTTTTAATGCAGATAAAACATAACTAATAAAGTTAACTAACAAACACAAATCACTCAGGAAATAGGAGTAGCGTCATACAATATAATAATAATAATAATAGAATGATTTAAAAAAAATACACTACTACTAATATTAATAACAATGAGAAGGATATTTAGACGTTTTTGTTAGGTAAATATTAGCCAGCTTCATAAATGTGTAGCATGGCAATAAAACTTGTAGGATTTTTTTTTTTTTTTTTTTTTACACCTGCAATTACAAAGTCTTTGACAGTGAATATGTGTGGTTTTAGTGTTGACTACTATAGTTTGTGAATACAATAGGGTGACCAGAAGTCTCTTTTTACCCAGGACAGTCCCAGTTTTGAGCCCCGTGTCCCCTGTCCCAGCAGATTTATCCAAAACCACTGATTTGTCCCAGTTTTATACAAGAAATGTCCCTATTTTTGACCAATCTGATCCTTGTCAATAGTAAAAAGTGGCATACATTATCATTTGTTTAGGTAGAATACAGAAAAGCTGCTTAAAAATGACCAAAACACAAAGAAAATGTGACTATACTGACTCACCTGGGCTGAGTGCATAACAATTTTTCATAATTATGCAATCGTGTCACAGTTTTATTATTACCAACCAATCCAAACTGGGTGTGTCCCTGTTTTTAATTTAGAAAATCTGGTTACCCTAGTGAAAATGTACTATTAGGCTCATATGAGAAGGTTATTTAGACGTATTTGTTGGGTAAGAATTAGCCAACATCGACAGTGGATATGCAGCATGGTCATGAAGCTTGTAGGAAAAAGTAGCCTGAGCTTATTAAGCTGCTTAAAAATGACAAAAACACAAAGAAAATATGAGTATACACATTTCTCAATTTTATTATTACCAACCAACCCAAACCATGTCTTAGGGTTTTATTTTGAAAATCTGGTCACCCTAGACTATAAAATGCTAAACAGCTAGCCTAAAATAAACTTAGCATAGTAACCTACTTTCTCTAATTTACTACTAGACAATTTTTATGTTATTTATTTATTTAATTTTGTTGCCTAACTTTTTATGTAGCCTAATTATTTATTCATGTGTTATTATTTGTTTTGTTATTATGTTGTTATTTATGTGTTATTATTTTAAAGGCTAGCTTTCATTGCTGTAGCTTAAGTTGCCTTCATTTAAATCAAGTTTTTAATATTTTTACAATTTATTTATCTTTTTTATGTCCTTATAGCAGGTATAGAAGGAACATGGAATATATAATTTTCAGAGACAAATATCCAGGGACCGTTTTTGCTGATATAGTTGCGATCATGCCCAGTCCAACCTAAAAACAGTAGGTCTCTTATTAACGTGCTAACTTTTTCAATTTTTGGTATAGATCCTGCGTTCTCCCACAGGCCTTGAAAGCACCATTCCACGAAAGGAGGAGGGGCCACTGTGGGAAAGAAACCTACAAACCTACAAACTACAATGTTCAGCCTGAGCATCATTTGTGTGAAACGTGATTTGGAAACACTTCTTACGTCACATTCTGCAATTTAGACTATCATCTGGGCTTGGAATGCTAAAAATAAAACTATATATGTAGTTTATAGCTCATAGTGTTACGTTTTAAAGTTAAATTACTGAAGAAGTTCAATGTCCATGTCCGTTTTATTTGTGGTTTTGCCTCCAGGGTTCATATTGTGCAATTTTCTGATCTGTTATAATGTTGTTTCCTCAGCAAAAACCTACCTGAAGTTGTTTTGTTTTGTTTCATTCACACATGTTCAACACACAAACCCTGCATATTTAGTTCTTCTCTCAAACAGAAAACACTCCATTCCACTTTGTCATGTCATGTGGTAATACAGTAAGTGCTTCACTGTGGTTTTAAACTCTATTATATGCCTTTTTTCAAATCATTTGGATAATTTCAGCCCTGGAATTGCTCATCTCTACTTAACAAAAGTAGCTGTTAAATTGAAAACTACCACTTCATGACATCACAAGGTGGAACCGAGTATTTTGAGCTTCGCAGATGTAGACGGGCTAATAACGCAGCATTTCTCAAACATGTGTGAGCGAAACAAAACACAACTTCAGGTATGTTTTTGAGGAGGTAACAACACTGAATCCATTTTGCATAACATAGGATCTTTAATGGTTCATGCAAACAGGACCTTTGCATGCTGACGTGACTTCTTCTCAAGAAAAAAAATGGCACATACAAGTTAGCAACCCATTAATGTTGGTTTTATTCCTCAGTATAAAAAAAGAAAATACTTTGAGACATTTAAAACAAAGCACATAAACACATATAAGTCTATGGGCACATTTACATTCTTGCATTGTGACTGTTATTGCACGACTGAAAATTGAAATTAAAATATACAAAACAAAACACAGCCTTACTTTAACAATTAAAAATAATATTATAAAATTAAATTAAAACTTCTGAGTCAAAGTAGCTTAAAGGTGCAATACGTAACTTTTCTCGTGGAGGGTTAGTCAAAAGATTTTCTCTGTGGAGAAACATTAATCCCATAATATTAAATTTAACAAGCATCATGGAGACCAAACCAGACCAAGTTACAGATCAGATCTGTGGAAAGGCAACCCCGTTTACAATCAGAAAGCCTGTTCTTCTAGGTATTTTTGAGCTATAACACCACCTGTAGTTTAATAAATGTAACGTAGGCCTGTTTAATGTCATACTGTGGAACATTCCAGGCAAGTCAATGACATATTTGTAGAAACAAGCAGCTGACGGACCCTCAACCAAAAAGTTACATAATGTACCTTTAAGTGCCTTGATGACTAAGGAAAAGCAGGTCATAGTTGTAACAATAGCAATCAAACTGTAAACCTTCAGGTTATTAATTTGCTTCAGTTGCTCCCTTTTATGCTTGTGGTCACCATAGAAACCCATAAAATGATGATTTGGCACATTTTAACATCACATGGTCTTCCTGTCATAAAGGACCGTAGAGTGAGTATCGTTCAAAATTTTTACAATTTTGTGCTTTTTAGATAAATATGGAAGATCTTAAATTTCTTTATGCAAGATGTATAGAATTATGTAGAAAATATATATTTTTTTTAAAATAAGTCATCAAATGTATTTTTGTTTTTATGTTCAGTTCTTCACAGTGTCCACCCTTTACTTTGTTGACAGCTTCATGATGAAGTCTCCTGAAATGGTTTTCACTCCGTATCTGTGCCAAGTCGGGGTCAAGAAATGCCAAAAGTGCAAACCAGTGTTCAAAGCAAAGGGTGGTTATGTTTAATTTGTTCAAAATCTTAAACAAATTTAGATTTTTTTTAAAAATTTTTCACATTCCATATCTGTCCATTCATAGTTTTGATGCATTTACAGAGACTCAGCAATGCAAATAATGATGGAAATAAAAATGTGTCTAAAGTTTTGACTGGTAGTGTACTTTGTTGCATTGTTTCTAAATTTCCAACAGATGAGCTGTACCCCCCTGTGATCAGCAGAGGGTAGTGTGTGGCTTAGAACCACTACAAGTTCAATGTTGGACGTTATCTCAGAACTGTGTGTTGTTATCATAGTCCTTACTCTTCTCCGCACTGTCCTCATTCATTTCAAATCCACTGTTCTCCAAAGGCTTTATTTTTCCAGCTCCTACCTCTCCGTCCCCCAGATCAGGCGTCTCACTGTCCTCAGACACGTCACCTCTGCACTTCCTTTTGTACAACTGGAAACCTGCAAAAAAAAAACTGAATTTAAAGTACAAATACAAAGCTCCACCACCATGAACATGCGATTTCAGAACTATCCAATACTTAAAGAGGCACTGTAACTTTCAGATGGAGGGTCTGCTTTCTGCTTGACTTCACAGAAATTGCAGTTTTGCTTTGGAATGTTCCACAGTACGGCATTAAACATCCATTTTGCATTTATTCAATTACAGGTGATTTTATTCATCCACTATACTTTGAAAAACTTGAAAAACCTTTGCAGATTTTACCTGCAACTTGGCTTGCTGGAGAGAAGCTTAATCCCATACTGTGGAACATTCCAGGCAAATAATAATATTCCATGGAGGCCTCCACTAGCAAAGTTGCAGAGTATTTTTTTTTTTTTTTTTTTTTTATAAAGCTCAAGCTGATCAGAATTTTTCTATCTTGACAGATCTACATACTTGCTACACCTAGGAGGACCGCAACAATCTGGAAGATAGTGTAGATGAGCGGGATGGCGAACATGACTTCCAGCTCAGTAGGAGAGAAGGACAGCTGGGTTATGGTGCTGCACAGTTGGGCGTTCTGGAAGCCCGTCTCCAATGCAATGGTACGGCACCTAAAAAGAGACAAGCAAGAATGGAACTTACTATCATTATTTTCGTGTAACACAATTGCTGTAATGTCAAGTTCTAGGTCTCACCTGAACCAGGGCTGTCCAGTAAAGCGAGCGAAGCAGAAGCCCAGCCCAAAGCCAATAAAAGGAAAGATGGTCCCAATAATCCAGAGTTTTGGGTGAATGTTCCATGAGGACTGATAGAGGATGCCTCCCACCACAGCAATGACAACAATTAGAATAAATCCAATCATGGAACCAATCTGAACACAACAAACATCGATTTGGAAGCAAATTCAATTGATATGAACATATATGTAGTTATGTGATTCTTACCTTGAGGATCTTTTTGGCTATCTGTGGCCATTTGTGTTTCATCAACGCCCCAAATCCAATGGGAACCAGGAGAGCCACAAGAGTGATCCCTAAATTACAATGTTTGAAAAATGATGCTGCACAATGGAAATGTTGACAATTTGGGTGCAGTTCTGCACTAACCAATAGTTTGGTATGGGATCTGGATGGTGTCGGGTGACACCCACACCGAAGTGTAGATCAGAAGACAGAGAGGCATCATACCCATGGCCATGATGGAGGAACAGGCTGTCATACTGATACTGCAACAGAGAAAACATGTAGAACTTTCAAATGCACTGGACTGAGTGATCGTAAAATGAAAACTCAAGTTCAAAGTTGTGAGTGTTCCTGTCCCACATGCTCGCTGACCTGAGGTCCATGTCTCCATCGAGGTAGTAGCAGATAATGTTGGATGATGATCCTCCAGGACAACAGCCCATGATTATGACGCCCACAGCCTGCACAGGCAGCACATTGAAGACCAGTGACAGGAAGAAGGCTGTGAAGGGCATAATCCCAAACTGACACAAAAAACCAATGGTGATGCCCCAGGGTCTCCGCAGGTGACCCAGGAATTTGTACAGGTCCACAGAGCAGCCCATGGCAAACACGACAAAGGACAACATGATCGTCATCACGGTTCTAAGGGTCAAGCCCAGAATGGCGTTGAAGTTACTGGGAGGAACCAGACAGCTGGTCCCTGAACAGACTTCAGCTTCAGCATGACAGTCCATTGGCTGTGCTATAATCTCCCTGAACAAGGCCATGGCTCCAGATTAATTCCAAAAGGTCCTCTTTGTGCTCCAGGGAAGGCTGGTGGACTGTGGAGACATGTGAGGCTTACTCGACCCTTATGTACTCTACCTCTGAAACTATGGAAGGGAAATGGCCAGAAAAGAACAATCAAAAATTAACCAATTCTTTATGAGTATTATAAACTTGACTAAATCAGGTCACAGTCAGGCTTTTACAACTTGGAGAATATTTAAAGTTTATTGGGAAACATTTTCCTGCAGCAGCATCAGTTACAGTGAGAAGATGCTTGCAAGACACAGCCCACACCTTATGTGCACAATGCCATATACTTTCACACCTGCCTTTTACAGCATTTCAAACATAAAATCGCTGGGAGAATGTGATAAGGGTTTATACCCTTCTGATCAAAAAGCCTGTGTAACAATGATTGCAAACTTTCAATGACTTAAATGATCATAAACACACCTAATAAAACATGTGGCATATGGTTTTGAGCAGCGACATTGACATTTAATGGGTCCACGTTCTATTTTTTATTATTATTTTTTTATCACAAACATACCTCGAGTTGTGTTTTCTTTCTTTCGCATATGTTTAAAACACAATGCATACTTAGGCGGTGTACTTCTCTCAGGTCTATAGAACCTTTAAAGCACTTCCCTAAAAAGCTTGGCTTTTTATGTAAGAGGTTAACCTGAACCTTTCATTGTTACAATAATTCTCAGTAAGTAAGTAAGTCTTTATTTATATAGCGCTTTCACAGACATTTTCTGTCCCCAAAGACGCTTTACACAGCATTATTCAGCATTATTCATTCACTCTATACCCTGGTGATGGTAAGCTACTATTGTAGCCACAGCTGCCCTGTGGCACACTGACAGAGGCGCGGCTGCCATGCCAGTCAGCGCCATCGGTCCCTCCGACCACCACCATCACTCACACACCATTTTCATACTAGGAAATGTGGGTGAAGTGTCTTGCCTAAGGACACAATGATTGAGTTGATTGTATTTAACTGACCATGACTATCAACTGTTTATGGAGACCTGTAGCATGTTTTGGGTTGATGGGGGAAACCGGAGCACCCGGAAGAAACCCATCCAGACATGGGGAGAAACATGCAAACTCCACACAGAAAGCCCCGGGCGACCCAGAGATCGAACCCAGAACCTTCTTGCTGTGAGGCATGAGTGCTAGCCACTCAGCCACTGTGCCAACAGTAAAGCAATAAAGCTCTTGTCATCATCGCTGTTAAGATAAACGGGCACATGGATCAATACATGAGCACAGCACAGAAGAGCATTGGCAAAAACACCAGGGTCAACCAACTCCTGGTTGACCAAACAGTCGCCTGTGACTGCAGAACTCATCAGACCAACCTGTGCACTGCCTGGATTGATTACAAGAAAGTGTACGATTCAATAACACACATGGATCACTGAGTGCTTGAAGTTGTACAATATCAACAGGACTCAAAGAGTCTTCATTGCAAACTCGATGTGGTCATGGAAAACCAATAGCAAGCCACTTGCACAAATGTCCATCAAATATGGCATATACCAAGGAGACACACTGTCCCCACTGCTGTTCTGCATAGGTCTGAACACCCTCAGCCAAATCATCATCCGCACTGGCTACAGATACTGACTCAGAAACAGGACCACCATCAGTCACCTCCTCTACATGGATGACATCAATCTGTACACTAAGAGTGAGCGAGACATCGACTCACTGATCCACACCACCGGGATAGGTCCCATTTGGGATTGATAAAATGTAGTAGGATGGTGACAAAGAGAGGGAAGGTAGTCCGCACAGAGGGGGTCTAACTCCCAGAGGGAACAATAGCAAACACTGAGTACAGTTACAAGTACCTTGGTATCCCACAAGCAAAGCACTTGAAGAGGCAACAAGGAAAGCGGCTATGGCCAAATACCTGCAATGAGTGAGGCAAGTCCTAAGAAGCCAGCTCAATGGCAAGAAAAAGGCCCAGGCAACAAACAGCTACTCCCTGCACAGGGAGCACTCACCGTAGCGTGCAGCCCCTCAGGATGGGATTGGAAGTTTGGTCCTTGGTCTCGTGCCATCCTCTGAGCGCACTGGTCAGATAGGTCTGGAGGCTCTGCCCTCCATGTACTGGTCCCAGATGGAAGCGAGCTAGACCAGTGCGCAATGGACTGGGTCCGAGAGGTTCCGTGCCATCGTCTGCACACTGGTTCCATTCGGTGAAAGCAAGAATGTGCTGTGGACTACAGGGCTGCTCCTGTCCTCCATGCTCAAGGACTGTGGCTGGTTCCAAGGTGGTGCAAAGCATCTGGACAGAAGTGCGAATCCAGTCTGGTTTGTTATTTATTGTTCTGAGCAGTCCGTCCTCTGCACACTTGGTTCTTCCCGGGAAAGCGCTTCTCAGGCTGAGACACCTAATACCACTACCCGCTCCAGCTCATCTGAACCAGAGCTGCTCCCACTAGTTCAGGAGTTTGATTTGGATCTAATCCAACTGTAGCATTTCTCACACTAGGCTAAATGCAGTTCATTTTATAAGCTGAATCAATTGAATACAGCCTATTCAGTTTAGAGTCTAAACTTAACACCACTGTATTAATGGGCCAAGGAACATAAACTAATTGTGACGCTATTTAGCCAATCAAATCTGTGCATTCAAGGAGATCACAAATTTGAATGCAGACACAGACAGAGGAAAGGGGTTTTGAGATATCTGTTGGAAAATGTGTTGAGACTGGTAAATTGAGATGTGCAGTTCTAGGAACCGCAAAGATACTGCACAGAACTCTCAAGCTCCCAGGCCTCTGGTAGACGACCCGAACTGTATGAGGGTGAGAGACCCTGAATGTGTGGTGGAACCTTCTGAATACATATAAGGAAAGAGGTATATGAAATTTGCAGCATTTATGCCAGGCAAATAAAAATTTAAATGAAAAAAAAATTAAATTCTAATAAAAATGCCAAGTCTGAAAAAAAAAAAAAAAAAAATCACATAAAAGTGCATTGTGTAATCTTTCAAATGGAAGGTCCATCAAAGCTAGAAAAAGTCCTCGGTTCGGAGAAAGGCCTTGTTCATGTCATTTCTAGGTAGTAAATTTTATGACCTTGTGGTACTAAAATGACTTAAGTTGACTTACAAGGTCCACACTGAAGCTCATTATGCGTATGTCCAGATGTAGTATTTGTTACAATCCTAAATGCATTTTTTAAAATACTTATTTCCAAATACCATACATATGAATCTAAAGAAAGAATAAATTAAATAAGCTAGGATATTTTTACATGACAATACCATGCGTATGATTCTAAATTAGACATAAGAATCCGTGTATCATTTGTCCATTTGTTTTTCAAGATAAAACAAAAAAAGAAAATGAAAAATAAATAAATACATTTCTTCATTATTTGTCTCCAAAACCAAAATGAAAAAAACAAACAAACTGATAACGATTAGTTTTTTTCAGTTTTCGATTTTGTGTTGAATGAATAATGGAAAAAAATGGATAACACAAAATCAAAAACTGAAAAAACTAATTGTTATCTGTTTTTTCATTTTCTTGTAGGTACTTCGAGTAAACAAATACAGTTTTTATACATATTTTTGGCTTGAAAATATGCTTACACTGGGGTTCATTGTCCAGACAGTGAAGCTCATTGTCTGCATTGTCCATATATAATACAATCTTAAATGCCTTTTTTTTTCTTTTTTTTTAATGTCTCTCTTTATTTCTGCCTTTTCACGGTATGTATCCTTTACTTACATATTGTCTGTAGCCTTCTGACTGTGATATGAAAAAACAATATAAGAGCAAACTACTTATTTCCCAGTACCACACATGATTCTAAATTAGACATAAGATGGGATAGTTTTACATTTTACCTAATTGTTGGCTTTCTCTCATAGTTTGAGTTATCACATGAGATTCATTTAAACTAATATTGTGTTTTTGTTTTTCTACATATTTTTGTTTGAAAAATTACTTTAAAAAGGTGCATTGTGTAACTTTTCTGGTGGAGGGTCCATCAAATGCTTGTTTCCATGGAGATGTCTTGCTTTGCTTTGTCTGGAATGTTTCACAGTATAGTATTAAACCTTTCTATCTTCATGGAGACCAAACCAGACCAAGTTACCGGTCAGATCTGTGGAGAGGCGTCCCCACTCACAGTCAGAATGTCTGTTTTTCTACGAATTTTTGAGCTATAAACCACCTGTAATTGAATACATGTAAAATATACTGGAACATTCGCAATGACTTATCCATAGAAACAAGCAGGTGGCGGACCCCTGACCAAAAAGTGACATAGTGCACCTTTATGCTGCATTGTCCAGTTGTAGTTCAATCTTAAATGCTTTCTTTTAACCTCTCTCTATTTCTACCTGTTCACAATATCGATCCATTATTCACCACATAGACTGTAGCCTTCTAATGGTGCTATAAATAACCAAAACAACGTTCCTGCTTATTTCCCAGAACCATACATATGATTGTGAGAGTCTTGGGTTACTCTTGGGTTACTTGGGTTACTTAGCTCCCAGCCTCGTTTCCATGTGAGGTATTTTGTGACATGCACAGTAGAAATGTTGGTCCTAGGAATTCTAATAATGTGGAAAAGTTTCATGCTTGTACCACAAAAGTGAACAATTGGTCTTTTTTTTTTAATTTTTATAATAATTATGATTCTTTCTTATTGTAATATAATGTGATATATGAGCTACTGTGTTTAAGTAATTTCCCTTGTGGATCAATAAAATCTGTCTGAGTATTTTTGTTTGTTTGTTTGTTTTTTGCTCAGTTGGCTGTTAAAGGTGCACTATGTAACCTTTCTTTGAGGGCCGCCTGCTTATCTCCATGGAGATGATATTGCTGTGCCAAAAATAGTAGGGAATAAAACATATCTATCTCCATGGAAACAAGCGGCACAACAAGACCAAGTTACAGGTCCAGTTTCATAGGGCACTTTTATATAAAGAATCAAATACGTGTTTCGATTTAGTGGGACACGAGGCACAGAAAAGTCAAAACAGCTGAAACTAAATAGGCTTGTACTTAATATTTTACAACCTATGGTACATTTAGGTGAAGGACAACTACATTTCAACATTTCAGAAGCTGAAATGAGACAAAAATAATGTAAAGAGTAATATAAAACAGAAAATAGGACCTGTATCGAAGCAGTTTTATATTGTGTTTATCCAGGCTGCTAGAGGGCACTAGTAGTTGCTATCATTGCAGTTTCACAATTTGTTTTGCACTAAATCCTGGTCAAATAGAACACCTGCCTGGTCCTTGGAGGAAATGATGCAAGAGAGAGTTTAGCTGGCTGTGAATCTCAATAGGCTCTATTGATAAAAGTGATAAAAGTAAATGTGATCAGTGGTAAAATGAAGACTGCATATGTATGTGTTATTTGGAATCATCTTGAAGTGGCGCCCTCATCTCTTCCAATTGCATGTACCCAGCGCGCTCACAGTTGTGCGTCAGTGGGGAAATAATGAAAACTGAGGTGTGGTTGTAATTGCTGATTAGCTGAACATAACGGAACACTACAATGACATGTAGATGAAGAAAACTGGGACATTTTCTTATTTTTCCTAGATTTTAATAATAATATCAATGCATCAAATGTATATAGCGCTTCTCTCGACACTCAAAGATGCTTTACAGATCATTATTCATTCACTCCATACCTGGTGGTAAGATACTATTGTAGTCACAGCTGCCCTGGGGCAGACTGACGGAAGCAGGGTGCCAATCTGCACCATTGGCCCCTCCGACCACCACCATCACTCATACACACCACTTTCTTATTAGGCAATGTAGGTGAAGTGGCTTGCCTAAGGACACAACAACAGGTTTTGCAACTGGTGACCCCCCCCTTTGGCACCATTTTCCCAGTGTCTCCCATCCAAGTACTTACCAGGCCCGATGGGATCAGGCTTTGACAATCCGGTACATTTTGTCAGACTTACAGCCCACCAGAAGCTGTAATCGCATCTTTCCAAACGTTTTTCTGGTTTGTGATGTAAGTGTGAATATTAGGACACGGGGTCACATTGGGTACAACACATAGATAAATACTTTTTTTGATCCCCCGAAGAGGAAATTCAGGTCTTGCTGCCATCTCAGGCACACCTTTAAGAAAAAACACCACAGCTTATCATGAGGAGAGGAGTTTAAAAATTAAACCACCCCCAGACTATGCTCCTGTGGGGAGGATAATGTGGGACCAGGACAAAAACACACCTCTGCGACATAAGCACATAATCAAACACAGGACAACATGAAGACTCGAGTTTCAAACAGTACAGGACCTTTGCATGCTGACATGATTTTGTCTCAAGAAAAAAATGGCACATACAAGTTAGCAACCCATTAATGTTGGTTTTATTCCACAGTTTAAAAAAAGAAAAATACTTTGAGACATTTAAAACAACACACATAAACACATATAAGTCTATAGGCACGTTTACATTCTTGCATTGTGACTGTTATTGCACGACTGAAAATTGAAATTAAACTATACAAAACAAAACACAGTCTTACTCTAATAATTAAAAATAATATTATAAAATTAATTAAAACATTAGAGTCAAAGTAGCTTAAAGGTGCGACACGTAACTTTTCTGGTGGAGGGCCTATCAATGCTTTTCTTTGTAGAGATGTTATTGCTTTGTCTAGAATGTTTCAGTGTGGTATTAAACCTTTCTATCTTCATGGAGATCAAACCAGACTAGGTTACGGGTCAGATCTTTGGAGAGGCAATCCCACTTACAATCAGAATGGCTGTTTATCTAGGTATTTTTGAGCTATAAAACTACTTGTAATTGAATAAATGTAAGGTCACACTGTGGAACATTCCAGGTAGAGCAATGACATATCCACAGGAACAAGCAGCAGACGGATCCCCAACAAAAAAAGTTACATAGTGCACCTTTAAGTGCCTTGATGAGGGAGGAAAAAAACAGTTCAGTGCTTGCGGTCGCCATAGAAACCAGTAAAACGATGATTTGGCACATTTTAACATCACATGCTTTTCCAGTCATAAAGGACCCTCGAGTGACTATTGCTCTAAATTCTGATTTAATGTTTGTAATTTAATATTGCGTTTTAACTATAATAAAACAGATTGTATATGGATGTAGAATTTATAACTATGACTTTTCACTGTAAAATGTTTTGCAGAGTTGCTTAGGTCTACTGAATTTTTACAAGAATAAAACATGAATAGTACAGGCAAGATTATTCATTTTTGATGCTACATCACAATATTTTGTGAATCTGACAAATAATAACCGTACTACATGACATGATATATAAAAAATACAATAAATTACCAAAAATAGCATACAGGAGAGGGCTCCCACAATAAAATGAACTTAAAGGCGCACTGTGCAACTTTTGTGGTGGAGGGTCTGCCACTTGTTTGTCTCCATGGAGATGTTATTGCATTGCTTGAAATGTTCCATGGTATGACATTAAACATACTGTATCCATCTATAGTAGCAGTTTTCAATAGGTCAGGCCTGACTCCCCTGGGGGGCGACAAAGAGCCACTGGAGAGGCACGACACACACAGACTAAACCAGGACTTATCCCAGGAATGAACCAGGAGGACAAAACCAGAACTGAACTAAGACTAAACCAGGACTAAACCAGAACTGAACGAGGACTGAGTGTCAGGGTGGGCCCAAAGGTGAGCCCGTGTAGACTGTCGGGTGAGGGCAGGCAAAAGGACTGGCGCAGAGCTCCGCACCCCACGGGGGTAACCACAGCCACCGTCTGATTGTGCTTTGCAGACCCGCTGCTCCACGGGCTCATGGATAGGGGCGACTCTCCACAGATCTGAACTGTAATGCAACGTAGTGATATAACCTGCTTGTCTCCCCTGTGATGGATCGGTATAATCTACACCGTGGAACATTCTAGGCAAAGCAATAACATTTCCATGGAGATAAGCAGGTGGCAGACCCTTCACTAGAAATGTTACACAGTGCACCTTTAAGGAATACCTCTCACTCTCTCTTATATCTATCACTCATTAATGCATTGATCTGCAGGTCTGAAAACAGATACAGAACTTACAGATGCAGATGAATAAATACAGTCACATGCAGAAACATATAGACAAATTAAATAAAGATAAATATGACAAAAATATGAGTTAGTCTGAAATATTATCTTCCAAGGTCACACTATAGATGCAGATATTTAGATAGATAATAATACATATACACCAGTCAAAAGTTTGGACCTTAGGTTTCTTGATGCAAGATGTATGGAATTATGTAGCAAAGAAAAAACTAATGTCTTTTTATATTTTATTTTCAATTCTTCGCAGTGTCCACCCTTTACTTTGTTGACAGCTTCATGATGAAGTCTCCTGAAATGGTTTTCACTCCATAGCTGTTCCAAGTCGCGGTCAAGAAATGCCAAAAGTGCAAACCAGTGTTCAAAGCAAAGGGTGGATACTTTTAATTTGTTCAAAATCTGAAACAAATTTTGAGTTTATTTTCATTTGTTGCATTCCATATCTGTCCATTCATAGTTTTTATGCTTTTAGGGAGAATCAGCAATGCAAATAATCATGGAAATAAAAATAAAAATGTGTCTAAAGTTTTGACTGGTAGTGTACTTTGTTGCATTGTTTCTGAATTTCCAACAGATGAGCTGTACCCCCCTGTGATCAGCAGAGGGCAGTGTGTGGTGTTCAGTGTTGGACGTTATCTCAGAACTGTGTGTTGTTATCATAGTCCTTACTCTTCTCCGCACTGTCCTCATTCATTTCAAATCCACCGTTCTCCAAAGGCTTTATTTTTCCAGCTCCTACCTCTCCGTCCCCCAGATCAGGCGTCTCACTGTCCTCAGACACGTCACCTCTGCACTTCCTTTTGTACAACTGGAAACCTGCAAAAAAAATGAATTTAAAGTACAAATACAAAGTTCCACCACAATCAACATGCGATTTCAGAACTAGCCAATACTTAAAGAGGCACTGTAACTTTCAGGTGGAGGGTCCACTTTCTGCTTGACTTCACAGAAATTGCAGTTTTGCTTTGGAATGTTCCACAGTACGGCATTAAACATCCATTTTGCATTTATTCAATTACAGGTGATTTTATTCCTCCAATATACTTTAAAAAACCTCTGCAGATTTGAACTGTAACTTGGCTTACTGACATCCCACATTTGTCTCCATGGAGATAGAAAAGCTTAATCCCATACTGAGGAACATTCCAGGCAAATAATAACATTCCATGGAGGCCTCCACTAGCAAAGTTGCACAGTGCTGCTTTAATGTGCTGAGTAAAGAGGTCGAAAGAAGCTTTATCTAAAACTCTTGACAATAATATTTTATTTTTATTTTATAAAGATAAATTTGATCAGTATTTTTCCATCTTGACAGGTCTACATACATCCTACAGCTGCGAGGGCTGCAACTATCTGGAAGATGCTGTAGATGAGTGGGAAGGAGAACATGACTTCCAGGTCAGCAGGAGAGAAGGACAGCTGGGTTATGGTGCTGCACAGTTGGGCGTTCTGGAAGCCCGTCTCCAATGCAATGGTACGACACCTAAAAAGAGACAAGCAAGAATGGGCACTTTCACACTGCTTGTTTGATCATTTGGTCCACACCAGGCAATAAAATTTTGATTATGTAACGTATAGACTACAGTGTGGTCCGCTTTCACATCGGTAAATGAACCAACATTGGTCCGATTGACATATATCCAAGGCTCCTGCGCACAGCGGGTTCAACTGCACGTGGCACAGGGACGCTGAGGCTCTCTTGCACGCCAGACCTCTCGGAAGCGAGGCCAAGTCTCGCCCAGTGGCCTCCACAGGCTACAGACGGCGCAGGCCGGTCTCTATTCCCTCCGGGCCCGGGGAGCCTATGGACTGCCAGTTGTGGTGCAGATGACCCCGGCCCCCATCGGCCCCACCACCACACTGGGGCTATCTGGTTGACCACAGTTTGAGGTTTGCCCCATGTCTTCTTTACTTACCATAAACAGGAAATTAAATTATTGGTTTGGATCCGAATTTGCATTTTCAGCAGAGTTTTGTGTGGAGTCAAGAGGATCGAGACCACCTCTTATTTGAGGTCTCAGTTCGCTTGATTTAGTACGGATCTGAGTGCGATTGATGATTTCACACCAACGAAAACAAATTGAACTAAGAGCTTTTGGTTCGAATGGAATGTTTGGTGTGCACCAACTGCTGTCGGTGTGAAAGCACCCTGACTATCATTATTTTCGTGTAACATAATTGCTGTAATGTCAAGTTCTAGGTCTTACCTGAACCAGGGCTGTCCAGTAAAGCGAGCGAAGCAGAAGCCCAGCCCACAGCCAATAAAAGGGAAGATGGTCCCAATAATCCAGAGTGATGGGTCAATGTCCCATGAGGACTGATAGAGGATGCCTCCCACCACAGCAATGACAACAATCAGACAAAATCCAATTATGGAGCCAATCTGAACACAACAAACATTTGGAAGCAAATTCAAATGATATGAACATATGTGTAGTTATGTGATTCTTACCTTGAGGATTTTTTTGGCTGTCTGTGGCCATTTGCGTTTGACTAACATCCCAAATCCAATGGGAACCAGGAGAGCCACAAGAGTGATTCCTAAATTACAATGTTTGAAAAATGATGCTGCACAATGGAAATGTTCAAAATTTGGGTGCAGTTCCGCACTAACCGATGCTTTCGTATGGGATCTGGATGGTCTCCGGTGACACCCACAGCGAAGTGTAGATCAGAAGACAGAGAGGCATCATACCCAGGGCCAAGATGGAGGAACAGGCTGTCATACTGATACTGCAACAGAGAAAACACATAGAACGTTCAAATGTACTGGATTGAATGGTTGTAAAATGAAAACTCAAGTTGTTTTGCTGCCCAACATGTTCACTGACCTGAGGTCCATGTCTCCCTCGAGGTAGTAGCAGATAATATTGGACCCTGATCCTCCAGGACAACAGCCCATGATGATGATGACCACAGCCTGCACAGGCAGCACATTGAAGACCAGTGACAGGAGGAAGGCTGTGAACGGCATGATCCCAAACTGACACAAAAAACCAATGGTGATGCCCCAGGGTCTCCGCAGGTGACCCAGGAGTTTGTCCAGGTCCACAGAGCAGCCCATGGAGAACATGACGAATGCCAACATAACCGTTAGAACAGTGCTAAGGACCAAGCCCAGAATGGCGTTGAAGTTACTGGGAGGAACCAGACAGCTGGTCCCTGAACAGACTTCAGCTTCAGCATGACAGTCCATTGGCTGTGCTATAATCTCCCTGAACAAGGCCATGGCTCCAGATTAATTCCAAAAGGTCCTCTTTGTGCTCCAGGGAAGGCTGGTGGACTGTGGAAACACCTGAGGTTTACTCGACCCTTATGTACTGTACCTCTGAAACTATGGGAGGGAAATGGCCAGAAAAGAACAATCAAAAATTAACCAATTCTTTATGAGTATTGTAAACTTGACTAAATGTGATTGCCCTATGGTTGGGCTTTTACAACTTGGAGAGTCTTTAAAGTTTATTGGGAAACATTTTCCTGCAGCAGCATCAGTCACAGTGAGAAGATGCTTGCAAGACACAGCCCACACCTTATGTGCACAATGCCATATACTCTCACACCTGCCTTTTACAGCATTTCAAACATAAAATTGCTGGGAGAATGTGATAAGGGTTTATTTCCTTCTGATCAAAAAGCCTGTGTAACAATGATTGCAAACTTTCAGTGACTTAAATGATCATAAAAGCACCAAATAAAACAGGTGGTGTATGGTTTTGAGCAGTGATTTAACATTTAAAGGATCCATGTTACATAATTTTTTTTAGCTGGGAGAGTGAGTTGTGTTTTGTTTCTTTCGCATATGTTTAACAAACAGTTTTCAGTTTGTTCTTCTCTCAAACTGAAAACAGGAAACTGGATAAATCTTCACTAGAATCTTTTGGATGATTTCAGCCCTGGAGTTGCCAATCTCTACTGAACAAAAGGTAAAAGGAGCTGTTAACTTGAAAAACGTATCTACCGCTTCATGATATGACAAGGTAATAATAAAGAAACATGTGTGAATGAAAAAAAACACAACTCCAGGTCGGTTTGTGATGAGCTAACAGTGTAACAAAGACCTGTAAAGCACCTCCCTAAAAAACTTTACATTTTAACTTTAACTAAGAGGTGAACCTGAACCTTTCACTGATACAGTAATTCTGACCAAGAATTATAATTTCAAACATACAAAACGTGTTTAAAGAAATCAACAACTCAATGTATGTATTTGTTTGTTTGTTTTTTGCTCAATTTACTGTTAAAGGTGCCAAAAATAGTAGGGAATAAAATATATCTATCTCCATGAAAACTAGAAGTGGCACAACAAGGCCAAGTTACAGGTCAATTTCATAGGGCACTTCTATATGAAGAATCAAATACGTGTTTCCAGTGAACGATTTAGAGGGACATGAGGCACAGAAAATTCAAAACAGCTGAACCAAAATAGGCTTGTAATTAATATTTTGCAACCTACAGTACATTTAGGTAAAGGACAATTACTTTTTAACATTTCAGAAGCTGAACTGAGACAAAAACAATGTAAAGAGTAATATAAAACAGAACCACATTATAAGAAATGTTAACAATGGAGAGATAGAACTTAACTAAATATGTTTTTTAATGTGGATAAGATTAAGAAAACATGTTTGTTAATCCAGTCGAGCGAATCGCTGCCTTGTTATTAATTTGTGATAGTGCTGAAATCACAGGACAGTTAGTAATGTATTAGTTAGAATTTAGAAAAAAATTACTTTACTACCAAAAAGTTAATTGTACAGTACTAGTTAGTTACGATCTATAAATGATTAGAAATAATAATAATGATGATAATTGTTTGTGGGATTTCTCTAACCTTTCAGAGGTCCTGCTTCTGTAATGCTGTCTTTCTTGCATGTGAGCAAGTAATGGTTAACTACAAAAACTAAAATGGGATGAGTAATTTATAATACACCATGGTGTTGTTGGTTATTAAAGAAGTACAAGTACAAGTACAAGTACAACCTGCCCCTCTTGAAAATACCTTAGGTGTATTCACATAATTATCAACAGTAGATTAGATTGAGCAAAACAATATATTAATAATTCTTATTAATACATTTTAAATAAATATATTAAAAAATATTTTGTCTCAATTTAGTTTTAGCTCAATATGCATGTTACTCCACAATTCTCTTTCTCACTGCATGTCTCATCTTAAACTTTAATTGTCGCCTAAAGTCCTCCTCCCTTTCTCTGGACTTGGCTTGGTAATGAGTTACCAGTAGCTTTAAACATTATCTGTACAGTTTTAAATGCCACAAGATCATTCAGGTCGAGAGTTTTGAATGGAAAAATGATGAAGAGTATGTTCATGCAACCTGACATTATGAATAACTGAGAGCTTGCTTCTGTACTGTACGCAGTGACTAGAATCCTCTTTTCTAAGCGTTCGCCAGACCTCAAAACAGAATAATAAATATGGCAGGATAAGTGAACTGTGCAGTGCACATGGCTGCATTTGATCTGTTGTAAAATTTGGTTGCCATGTAACCAAATTTACTAGGCAACCCAATTCAATTTCACAACGGATATTTAAAAAAAGCTTTCTGCAACTTGCCCTACTTTGCATGAAATCACACTTTACTTGAACATTTATTTGCAAAACATTATAATATGACACCATTTTATAATTGCATGTTTTGTGCAATATATTTGAGAAAAGTAGAATCAGATGTTTATAGCAGTTCATTTTACTGGAATGGAAAAAGCCATTTAGAAAAGCATTGCCCATAACATAATAATTCCAGTTTTCCAATACTGTACAGGACAGTGACCCTCCACAGTCTTATCAGCTGTCACCTTTTGTCTGCTTTCTCTGTCACTCCGGCTGCTGTAAAGTCTGTGCCTAAGATCCTGATGTGAGTGTCTAAACATTTGATCTGAACAGGTACCACCACCGTCTTTTAGTTAAAAAACGCAGTGGCATAAACGCTAAACACAATGTACGAGCATCATCGTCATCACCTGTGCAGTTTCTCCAATTTAGTCAAATCAGACCCATAAAAAGTTCTTAGGACTTTTAACTCAAGCAAAAAACTAAAGCAACATATATAAATGTACTTTTCTTGTCTTTGAACAACAGACAGGAAGGAATTTAAAGCAGCATGGAGTTTGTCGCAGTGACCTTCACACTCGTTCTCATAAAACCTTTACGAGATTGTGGTGGCTCCACTGTTTGTCTTTTAGTCATTTTTGATTACTACATGAAATTCTATCACACATTTTGCCAATCATGAAAGAGACCAGTTGTCAATATATTAATATACATTATCAGTCACATTCTTGCTCAATAAATGAATAAATGTTCATTTTGTCCAACATTGTTCATTATAATTCATGTCCAAAATTCAGAGAATTGTTGTGGCATGAAGGCAAACAAGATTTTATCAGTTTTATGGGGTAATTATCTCATTGGGGACAATAAAAATACCACAAAGAAATCATGACAGAATTCTAAAGAATATTTAAAAAACAAAATTTTTTAATTATAGAATATAAGACGGAATATAAGAAGTCACTTGAATGAAATGTCTTCACTGCAAAACTTTTGTCCAGTTAACAGAGTAAATTTTTTCTTTTACTACAGTTCTTTTGGATCATACCTGGGCTGAGGGATCACAGAGACAGCAATAATGATGCCTTTTATAGAACAACATAACACCTTTGAACTTTGAACTTACAACACCATACAATAAAATACCTATTTATGCCATTATAGGTTTTTGTTATTCAAGATCCTTCCATTACCAGCTTTTTTTGGACATGTTACAAGTATGCAATCATAAAGAATACTTGAGATATTGTCCACGGTATTGAAATAGATGAGAAGTATTTTAGCTTCTGCTGTTGTATCAGTGGTTCAGGTTGCTGTGGTTGTATTAACGTGGCATATTTACTATTAATTAAAGGCCCTGTCCTCGATTTTTTCCTATGTTTTTGAGCAAAATGTGTCTTGCCCCAGTATCAGTTTATTGAGCAGCTCTTCAGATCAAAATAAGTCCCCTGTGTAGTGTCTGCATGTAATTATAAAACAGATTTTTTTTTGATAATCAAGTGTGTGTTACCATGCTAGTTGTTGTTAACTTTACCAACATGGCAAAAGCTGTAAAAACTGCTTATAAACTCATCACAGTGAATAATTTGGGTTGGATGTTCTGAATGCACAAGATAAAACTACTAACTCTGTTTTTCCACATTTTTAAGACAGCAAAAATCTAATTTTTGGCTGAGTGGCTAGCACTGAAGCCTCACAGCAAGAAGGTTCCGGGTTCAATCCGCGGGTCGCCCGGGCCTTTCTGTGTGGAGTTTGCATTTTCTCCCCGTGTCTGGATGGGTTTCCTCTGGGCACTTTGGTTTCCCGCATCAACACAAAACATGCTACATAAGTCTCCAGGAAGATTAATTGATAGTCAAGGTCAGTTAAATATAATCAATCAATGAACCTGCCCAGGGATGTCACAATAACCGAAATATCGTGATATCGTATCGTCAAATGTCTAACAATAATATCCGCGGCTGTCACAATATATATCAAATTTCAAGTTCCTTTGCTTAAATGCATGGTTTTACAGTACCAACAGCTTATAAACACCGGAAACGACATATTCCATGATTCATTTCAGTGCAGACAACATGAAGAAATAAGAAATATGTTTTTTATTTGAATTCTTGGGATTATGATGGAGATAATTCATACCAAAATCTTGTCAAGGTATTTTAAAAGCAAAAGCATTTCCTATCTACAATTATCCTCTCCAAAAGATCACAATAAATATCATATCGTGAGATGCATATCGTGATAATATTGTACCGAGTTGGATATCGTTACATCCCTAGTAAATGGTCACATCTTCATATAGCACTTTTCCACCTTTATGGCACTCGAAGCTCTTTACATTAAAGAAACACTCAACCTTTCACACACACATTCATCCACCAGTGTACGCAAACACTGGGGGCAAAGTGGGTTAAGTGTCTTGCCCAAGGACACAACAACAGCTCTCATCTGCAGGTCTGTGGATCCATTCGTTTTATGTCAAGAGCGGGATTTGAACTGTCAACCCTCGGATCAGTGGACGAACTACCAACTGAGCTACTGTTGCCCCTAGATAAGATGACCGGATAAGATGACCTTGAAGTGCCACACAAAGTCCTAAGTCCTCGTCGTTTGTCAGCTCTGGGCCGTGTTGGTCAGCTGGACTGCTCCTGTGATGTGGGCCACAAAGCACCGGAGCAGGTAGATCCCCCAGAAGTTCAAGGAGCTGTTTCAAAAGAACAAGAGATAGAAAGTGTCAGAACATTTCGATTTGTCAATGTTCTTATCTTTTAAATAAACATACCACTGTGCATCGTAACATACATGTTTTACTGCATGTAATCTTTGAACCCTCTTTAAAAATGCCAAACATACAGTCTTTGTCATAAACGTAGTTCATAAGTTAGTTCAGGGCCGTAATGTGTTTCTGACTGACTAGAAATTCATTTTTTGTGTCATTCAGGCTGCTGTAAACTCCCCTTGACTTTCTACTGCTCCTGACGTGACGGAACTCACATTAGAAACATGCCGACCCATAATTGTAAATTAAAATGTAAACTGTTAAAAAAGTATATCTGGTAACATTTTATAATAAGGAGACATATAGAGTGAAACTTTCAAGCCTTTATTTCTTGAAATTTTGATGATTATGGCCTTCAGAAAATTTTAATATTACATAAAATAGGATATTTTAAAAATAATGGTCAGGCTTCTGAAAAGTATATATTAATTTCTGTGCACTCAATACTTGGTTAGGCCTCCTTTGGCATGAATTACTGCATCAGTGCTCCATGGCATGGAGGAGATCGCCCTGTGGCAATGCGCAGGTGTAATGGAAGCCCAGGTTGCTTTAATAGCGTCCTTAAGGCCAATCAAGCACAGTAACACCATGGTCATTGAACCAGCTTTTGGTGCCTTTGGGCAGGTGCCAAGCAAATTAAATCAGTATCTCCATAAAGCTTGTCAGCAGAAGGACGCATCAAGAGCTGTAAAATATTCTGGTAAATGGCTGCAGTGACTGTGGACTTCAGAAACACAGTGGACCAACTCAGGCAGATGACATGGCAGCCAGATCATCACTGACTGTGGAAACTTCACACGAGGGGTGAGCAAAAATATCAAAATATCGATATATTGTATCGTTTAATGTGATGATCCAGTATCAATATCAATGGCTGCTGTACCGAAATATCACCAAGAGTATTTTTTGGTATATTGTACAAAATTATTTTGTTACAGCTCTACAGTTTTGTTGCGTATTTCGAGGAAGGAAACTCATTTATGCGACACATTTGACATTTTTACTGTTTTGATGAATAAAATGGGCGTGTTTCATATGAACTTTGCACAAGAAGTGGTTTAACAAAGACTTTTAGTATCACAGCCATCATTTAGCCATTATTTTTTATTGAACCATATCGAATAAATTATAAATATTTCATATAGAACCGAAAGTGCACTGTATGTACATGATATGTATCATATCATGGCCTATGGATCAAGGTATGTATAGCATCGGCAACTTGTTAATGGTGCCCAGCCCTTCTTCACACTGGACTTTAAGCAACATGGATTCAGTGCCTCTTCACTCTTCCTGAAGACTCTGGAACCTTGATTTATAAAGAAAATGCTAAATGAACTTTCCTCTGAAAAGATGACTTTGGACAACAAGTCCAAATCCACCAACAGTCCAGTTCTTTTTTCTCCACAGCCCAGGTAAGACTGTTTTGACGTTGTCTCATCTCCCGTACAGGCTTTGTCAGTGGCTCTTGATGAGGTGAGTCGATTTTGCTTAACAATCACCTCAAGGCTGGAGTCATACCTTTTGCTGGTGCATCACCACATTTTTCTTCCACTCAAGTTTTTCATAAATATGCTTAGATACAGCACTCTGAACAACCAGCTTCTTTAGCAGTGACCTTTTGTGGCTTTCTCATTGTGGAGAATGTCAGTGACTGTCTGTCCAGTCAGCAGCCTTCCCATCATTGTGCAGCCCACTGACCCAGACTGAGAGACCATTTAAAGACTCAGGAAACCTTTGGAAGTGTTTTAGGGTCTGATTACGGTCTAACTCCATGACCTTCTAATGTTAAACTTTTTCACAATATTCAATTTTTCTCAGACACTGAATTTTGGGTTTTCATCACCTGTAAGCCATATTCATCAAAATATCAAAAACTAAACAGTGATGCTTCACTCAGTGTAATGAATCTATACAATATACAGATTTGACTTTCTGACAGGAGTGACAAAAATATTTCACTTTTTCATGGTATTTGGGGATTTTTTTTTAGATGGACTAGCATTACACAATATAGAACAAAACCTCCAAAGCCATCTCCATGGACACAAGCAGGTGGCATTACGAGGATCAAGTTATAGGTCAGATCTGTGGAGCGATGACCCCACTCACTGTAAGAATAAATGTTTTTCCAAAGTATTTTTGAGCCATAAAATCAAATGTAATCAAACCAAGAAAGAACTAGAATTTGTATTAATCATTAGAAGATGTAGGCCTATATTTTAAAACAGAAACTTCATAAAATGCCATAACAGATTGGTATACCTGCTAAAATGTATAGACAGTCATGTTGACAATAAAATCTTTGCAGTGTGTGACTTACAGTAAATACTCTAAATACTATTGTCTATTACTCACATCCTGCACCATTCTCCCCCTCCCTCCCTCTCTCCTTGAACTGAAGCATAAAATCTTCTGTACATGACTACACTTCTTTATAATAGCATGTACATAACTCCATACAGTATATCTTTATAGTAAATAGTAAATCTACATTTATGAGATTCCAGCAAACGTGACAAATACAGCGTCGTCTGTGTGATGTGTGAGTCCTGGATCAAAGCTCACCTGATCAGGAAGGGCTGAGGAAAGCAGCTTGTGGTCTCACTCTTAATGACTTTGTGAACACTGAGAAGGTTCAGTAGCTGAGTGCGAGGGCCGCCTTTGTCCATTTTTGTCAACACGATCTAAATGTGAAGACAAACGACGCATTAGGACTTCAGAGGTTTTAATTAAGCACAAAAAACTATCAATCAAACCTTTAAGAGCCCATATTACACTATTTTTTATGTTATAATGTTGTTTCCTCATCAAAAACACACCCGGAGTTGTATTTTGTTTCATTCATACATTTTTAACAAACAAATCCTGCATATTTAGGCTGAGTTCCTGAAAACTGAATACACTCCACCTTGTGATGTCATGGAGTAATGCGGGAAGTGTTGCACTGTGTTTTTAAACTCCACACACATTCACTAGAATCATATGGATAATTTCAACCCTGGAATTGCTCAGCTCTACTAAACAAAAGGTAAAAGGAGCTGTTAACTTGAAAGCTATTGCTTCACGACATCACAGAGCATTCTGAGCTTTGGAGACTAATAATACCAGGTTCTCAAATTAAACAAAACACAACTGCAGGTATATTTTTGATGAGGTAACAACATTATAACATGGCTAAAGCTCACTGGAGTCCATTTTGTGTAAGATAGAACCTTTAAGTGGTGTTCAAATATACAAAGCACACACTTTGTGCTAATATACATGAGCATTCACACATAGTGGCTCCCTCTTTTCTGCTTCACTCAAGGAAAAACTAAACCTAAAACACAACACTACCCATGCCAGTCCATCTTTCCCACAATCAGGGAATAATTTAGCTCCATAAAATACTTAAACTGTATCTATACAGCATAAGACAGGGCACGGTTTGAAGGGAAATCTCCAGAGTTAGACAAAATTTCTTTAATATTACCATATGGTCTTTATATCTGGAACCTGCCTGGATGACTGCGGGATTACACATAATGGTTTTGTCTATGTGCTCTTATACTTGTTCTGATACAGCTCAAGATCATTCTAAAACTATTTAGGAAAGGTTCATTTCTGTATTGTGAATGTGACTTTTTTAGTATCAAAACCTGCTCAAATGAGTGTCTAGTTTTGATTCTAGTTTTAGTATCAATTAGTATCTGATTTTCAATTTTGTTTTCAGACTATCATCTGCTCTAAAACTGTTCTTTATCATCCTAAAACCAGCTTAACCTGGTCTATAATTAATCTAAATAGGATCTTTCATAAGACTAAACCACATAAAAGGTATTTCTGAATAATGATTAACCCTAAACGAGGACAAAACAGGATTTGACACTAAATAAACATGACCGTGTACACTTTCCGCACTTTGAGAAACAATGACATAGACAATTAAAAGTATCCCTCAAGCTGCTATTTAAAAGCTGCCCTCGCTTGCACTGAATAATGGTGCCAGTGTTTAATTATATGACATAAATAATGAAGGAGAACCATCACAGAGCAGTGTGGACAGCAGTTTAAAATAGCCAAGTGCCCGCTCAGCCTTAACTCTCTGTGGATATATAATGAACAAGACCGAGGAGTAGGAGGGGCTTAGAACAGATGTAAGACAGCAAGTGGTGTTTGGTAAATTTTTCTGTCTGAACATACACAACTGGTCAAAGGTTTTAAAACACGCACATTTTTCCAGTTATTTATTGCAATTCAAGTTGTGCAAGTCCAATGAAGAGCTTGAAATGGTACAAAGATAAGAACTGAACAGACAGAGGTTTAAAAAAAAGATAAAAGATTACAAAACACAAGTCCAAGCTCTGCCAAAACTACTATCAGACATCGAGCTGGTTTGGGATGAACTGGACAGAAGAGTCAAAGCCAAGAAACCTACAAGTGCCGCACATTTATGGGAACTTCTGCAACAGACTTGGGAAGAACTTTCTGAAGAATATTTGATTTCTATTGTAAAAAGATCGAGCCACGAGTTTGTTCAGCTGCCAAAGATGGACACTTTCATGAATCAAAAGTTTACAATACATTTTGGGCAACAGTAAAAAAAAAAAAAAAACTGGAAACGGTGTGGTGTTCTAAAACTTTTGACCAGTAGTGCAAATTTTATATTTCTTTAAATTTCTGTAATTGTCCTTAAATGGGAATAACCCCTCTCAGACATGGGGAGAACATGGTGGTTTCTTATGGTTCATATGGTTTCTTATGAGGGACCCCGGCAACTCAAACTTAGATAAGATTAAATGAGATAAACTTTATAGTCCCAAAGAGGAAATTTGCCTTGGACTCAGCTTAAAAACACAGTTATTTCAGAGGTCCCATGGTATCCCAATTCGAGCCATGCCCCTATTTACTTGTACACTTGTATTTACATTGAAGACCACACGCATTATCAACTAATGATGGCTAAATAAAAACACCGGGATAACTTAGAGCAGGCTAATAGAAACATTGTAAGGTCAGAATGAGTCTGGCAGCAGCAGCTACAGAGAGAAGGGCAATGTTTGTTTGTTTTTTTAATAGAAGCTTCATAGTGCAACAAGAATCTATGTCATTATTACTCAGGGTATCCCCAGGTTTGACTAGCCCAAATTTAAGACATTTTTAAGACTGTTTTAAGACCACTTAAATGAAAATTAAGACCAACATCGCACCCATTGTCTGGGCGAAAAACACCAGATCTAATTCTAATAATGACCAACCAACTACTATATTTAGAATCTAAGAGCCACTGTGGATTAAATGTGCACTTCCCCATGATCCATCCAATGTCTTCCTTCACTCTACTGATTGTTTACTCATTGCCGCCGGCACCAAAAACCAACGTAATGTTTGCGTATACTCCAAATTACGTTCATTCGTAATTTCACGATGTTGTTTTTTTTGTCCCTCTCTCCATTTAACATTGCACTGAAACAACAGGCTAATGAAATTTAAGACCTTTGTGAAAAAAATAAGACTTGGACAACATAATTTAAGACTTTTTAAGGCCTTAATTTAGAAACACGAAATCTGAGACCTTCTTAAGACTTTTAAGACCCTGCGGCTACTCTGTTTCTACAATGAAATGTATTTTGTGTATCATACCACATACGGCCGCCTGGTTTCTTCACACATCTCCAGAGCAATGCGGTCTGCAGGCTGTAGCCCCACACTGCCATCCACCAACAGAAACGTCCTCACCAGGCTGAAGAAGAAGAAAAGAAGAAAAGAAAGAATATATAAGAAAAAATTAGGGAAGGCAAGTTCATTTGTATAGCACAATTGGTACACAAAGTAGTTCAAAGTGTTTTACAGAATAAGAAAGACGTTAAAATCCAGCCAATAAAAACAAATCAAAACATAAATAATCATCATAAAATTAACATTAAAAGAGAAGAGATACATAAAATATTTCTAAGTCAAATTGATACACACTTGCTGGACTACAAAATTAGTTTAAAGCATTTGCAGATTTATCCCAAAACCGTTCCTTTTGTTATTTTTTGTACATTAACGTCTTGGGTTCTTTTCAAAGACATCTCCTACTGTATTGTCTTTAAAAAGAACCTAGAGTTAATTTGCAGATTTACACTGATTGGCGTACTTAGTTCTTGTGAAGAGGTACGGCTCCACAATGTCCACAAAGTCCTTGGGCGCCCGGTGTCCATACCCAGGCATGTCCACGATGGTGAAGGATCGGCCCACTCGGAAGAAGTTCATCTTCTTTGTGTGACCCTAATGAAAAACCCATGTGAGTATGAATTATATTACAGGACAGATGTTAGAAATATTAACTCATAAATACAGAACACAGAGGACTACAAGGGAAATTTAAAGTTAAGTGAAACTGTGATGTGTGGTGATTAGGGAACTGATGTCTTCTTTGGTCTAGTTTGAGTTCCATAATATCTAGTAAATCCATCTCTATATTTATTTTATCTAATATATCAACAAAATTAAGCAAAAAAATCAGATTTAAATGTCACAAATATATGCAATTTGTGATTTTATTTTACCCAGAAAATGCACTATTTTTGTATGAGAACATAACATGATGAAAACCATGTAATAGATTTTTAAGTATACAGAAAAAGCTTCAAACTGATAGCCATATATTTAAGATTTTTCCAATTCCCCTGCAGTGTCTAGCTTTAAGATGAAAACAGCGAAATGTAGGGCTCACAGTTTTCTTGCATGTCATTATCTGGATATCCACCTGTATATTTATTTTTGTATATTTCATCTGTTAAATCTAAATTTTTAGAGGATGTAACCAAATTATAATACTGTTTCCTTATTAAATCATATAAGAAATAGTGTGTTTGACTGCTTAATCTGGCATATTTGGCACAGTGCTTTATTCTGGACACCTTCACTAGACTTTGTAGTTAACCAATGTCCGTTTGCCAGCAGGTTGCGTTTTTGCGCCCTCTGCTGGCCAAAATTCAACTTTTCAATACGTTTTTATGTGAATGGATTTATTTAGAGGGTTTTCTTACGGGAGTTTTGGAGACCCGGACCTCGACCTCAGGCGTCAAAGAGAACAAAGCTTTGATCAGGGACGATTTACCCACATTACTCCGGCCAATGAAGCACACCTGCAAGACACACACAATACAAAACAGTTTTCTTCTGAATGACACCACTGTTCTTAAAGGGATAACTTCATGATTTTATTGTCAATTGGAATTTGTCTGTGTTGATATTTAACAGCTTCTTTAATTTCCAGAGAATCAGAGGACCAAGGAAAGAAAAAAAATCACTGACTAATCACTTTTTCTTCATATTTCCAAAGGTTTTTATTCAAAACAGCACATTATCGCACTACACTTTAGTATTTAAAATTTAGGGGTGCCCAAATGTTTTTTACAGTGGACCACATATTAAAGCTTATACAGAGCAGAGGGCCACAAATACAAGAGAATGATGCTGATGATGATCATTTAAATGTTGTATTGTGGCAGCTTTAATAAGGCTAGGCTTTAATGTTCAGTCTGTATTACATCAAAATGTTTGTTATTTAAGTTAAAAACATTTTCAAAATTTGCTGCAAAATGAACTATCTTTGGTAATTAGGGTTAATTCAGCAAAAAACATGATGGCCAACAAAAATTGAGAGCCATATTTGGCCCCCGAACTACAGTTTGTGCACCCCTGATTAAAATAAATAGCTTTCAAAGTACCTTTCGAGACTACATTCTCAAATATTTTTTAATAAATATTTAGATAAATATAAAATAAAAAGAAATAAAATAAGAAAACATTTGTCCATCATATTTTTCCATTATTTTCTGTAATACAATTTTCGGTGGCAAATTTAAAAATGTATTCTTGATCATGAGATTCAAAATGAGAGGAGAAATCTTCGACTTTCCATTCCTAAAGTCTAGTTAGATTTACCAGTAAATATATTTATAACATATATAAAAGAAGAAGGCTGAAAATACCTCTGGCTGTTTGAGGTCAGGAGCATGATCCATCCGCTCTGCAGAAGTGTAATAATCGATGTGATGAGACGGTGAGGAGAGGAAGAGCTTCTCTGCTCTGAGCATGTCCTCTACACTCGGGTCAAACAGTCGGAAATCTGACCTGTTCACTGACCTGCAAAAAGAGAAAAAACTGAGGTCCCATATAAATGTTTTAATAACAAATTTACCATTATACAAACACTAGGGCTGCACAATACTTAAACAAAACTGCACTTTGAATGGACAAAATTAGCCAATCACAAAGACTGCAATTGTTTAAGAACCAAATTCCACCACAAACAACAAAATATATAAATTCTTCAAGCTTATTCTGAATAAAAACTGCTAACCTTGTAGTTAAGATCTGTACAAACATGTTCTGAAATGTGATTCTTGTATTAGTTTGTCAGCTCATATTTCAATCTTTTTGTCAATTCTTCTGGATTTGTTTAAAATGTAAACTTTGAAGAGAATCCTATAAATTGTAAATCACAATTACTGAAACTAAAACGGCAAAGTTTTAATTATTTTTCCAAAACATTCATGCTCTGAAATGCATGGGATTCTTATATTTGTTCAGTATGTATCAGTATTCTCTCAAATGTTAATGCTTCTGAAGTTATCAGAAATTTAATCATCACAAATCCAATAGCAGTCTCAATACTTGTCAGAAAAGTTGCAATTTAACATTTTTTCCCCCTCAATATCATACAGGCCTGACATTTACTCACCGGTCGAGGTAGGGCTCGATGTTATTGAAGGGGTACACTAAGCTCTGAGCCTTCTTGTGAGGAAATGAAGTCACATTTTGGAGCGAAGCGAGTTTGTGGGCATTCATACGAGCAAAGGTCCAAACTTCAGGGAGAGTCTTTAGGCGTAAATGACGACAAAACATCTTCTCTTGTTTAGTCTTTACAGTTGTGACCCATTCAAATCCATTACTTCTTTTCGAAAGCCTACAAAACAAAAGACAGGAAGGCGTTATGTTAAGTGCACAGTGTATTAAGTTAAATGTATAGTTAATTTTTGTCTCTTATACAGACAATAAGTCATAAGTGAAACTGTAAACACAAACTCGCTGCTTTTGCTGCTTTTCTTTCTTGAAGTTCTGTCATTGTTTAATAAGGTTAGGCGTTATAAGTACGTTTTACTTCAGCCTAAACCCTTTCAGTCATGATCCATGGGGTTGTAGTTTATGTTTTGTTTTGTTTTGTAGTGCTGCAGAATGACCGAATAAAAACTACTAAATGTAAAAATAAGTTAAACACCTTGCAGTTATTTATACACAAGGTATCAGAGGTGTGTAGAGTAGACAAATATTGTGCAGGATATGAATTATGCCAAATTTATAAAAGCTTTCTTGGCACAAAGCAACAGGTTTTTACATCAGCATGAGTAAAAACTGTAATTTCTAATTTCTTTGCATTGTTATTAACTATTGTGCCGACTATAATACATTTATACAACAAAATAGAAAAGGGAAATGATCAAAATAAAATAATAAATAATCAGCTGTGTTGCTTGTAGAAAAAATAAAATGCAACATCATGAATTACTTTAATGCTATTCATTCGTTTGCTCCTTCTATTTTTAATTTTTTTTAAGTTAATATTTTACATACATGTGACTAATTTTAGGCTTAAATGCTTAAAAAAAACATCCTTTCCACTATTATTTAACAATATTTACAATAAAGTCTCACAGTTGAACGTGCACGCGCCCAGTCACATCCGGGCTACTGCTAAAACGCTAGCAAAATATTAGCATTCGCGAGAATAAACGCACCATGTCTGGAAAACCATGCATAATAATCATAGTGTTTATAGTTCACCTAAAAGTTATTTATTTCGCGTGGGAATAACCCAAGCAGGTCGTGTAGTTTCGCTTGATATGAGGTTTATTTGAAGATATTATTCCAAAGTTTACTCCTGTTCTCCATGTTTGGTGCAGCGCTCAAATGTGTCCGACCCTATCACAAAAAAAGACATTAGTTCCACTTTAGGGTGTTTTTATTTTATTTTATTTGTATTTATTTATTTGCGTCTACGTTTGTCTACATTGAATGTATATAGCTTACCATTATTTAATTGTATTTGTATGCTGATTGAAAATAATAGTGAAATCATATTGGCGGTATCATTATTATTTACAAGCAGGGACAGACTGGCAATCTGTACATTCAGGAAAAGTCCACAGTCCAAACAGCAGAGGGCGCTAATTTGATAATTTGCCCATTTGTCAAGCCTAAATTGCACAAGCTTGAAAGGCGACAAAAAAGAGTGGGTTATTCAATGGTTTCAACCAATGGTGGAGCATTCAGTGGTGAATTTGGTCCCCAGTTTTCACTATCTCAAACTGCATCACCCCCACCCGCCTCCCACATCCAGGGCTGTCCCAGGTCATCCCTGTTTACAAGGAAAAGCAGCCAAAAAAATCTATTATTCATATGATGATGTCCTGGTCTATTGGATTTTAATATAGTGCAATCTGTTTTGTTTTGCTTTTTTCTTTCAGTGTTAAAAAAATTGAAGTAATCAAAATTAGAGCACACTGAATGAAAAATTAAACTACTGGGTTAGTCTAAGTGCCCCAACAACACAGAACTATCATTAGGACTCATTAGTTTAAAAAGATTTAATGCAATACTGTGGGGCATTTCAAATAACATTTCTGTGGAGACATGTGGCAGACTCTTAGCCAAAAAATGTTTTTAAATGGCTTTACAAAAAATGAAAGCGAAAGGAGTATGTTTGAGAGCTCTACTTAATGGGAACAATATTCTCACATGATTCAGAGTTAAAAGTGTTCTTTAATATTTTTCAGTGTTGCAGTGGGACAAGTGTAGACTCTGATGATAATTTAAGTTAGTGTATCTGTTCTCGTCTTGAATAATGGAGTTAAATAATGTGGCGCATAAATAATGAAGTGAGCCCTCTCAGAGAAGTGTGGACAGCAGTTTAAAATAGCCAAGTGCCCGCTCAGCCTTAACTCACTGTGGACATAATGAACAAGACCGAGGAGGAGAGACACCAGAGAACAAAGCACTTCTCACTGCATTATTCACAAAGTCAGATACATATGGCCTACTTGAGTGACCTTTTATAGAAATTGTACTTGTTGGCAAGGGTGGAAATGAACTTACTAATAAGTTAATTCCATAAAATAACCTGTACCAATCTTTGTCATCAAATATTATCAAAAAGTCTGCAACTACAGGTCCACTAATTAAGTTTTTTTGTTTGTTTTTTATTATCTGTTACATAAGGGTGAGTTGTTGCACAGTTGTAGGGAGTATTATCCATTAAATAAGGGCGAGTTGTTGTACTCTTGTAGGGAGTATTATCTTTTACATACGGGTGAATTGTTGTACAGTTGTAGGGACTATTATTCGTTATATAAGGGTAAGTAGTTGTACAGTTGTAGGGAGTATTATCTGTTAAATAAGGGTGAGTTGTTATACAGTTGTAGGGAGTATTATCTGTTTCATAAGGGTGAGTTGTTGCACAGTTGTAGGGAGTATTATCTGTTACATAAGGGTGAGTTGTTGTACAGTTGTAGGGAGTATTATCCGTATGTCGTTGTACAGTTGTAGGGAGTATTATCCGTATGTTGTTGTACAGTTGTAGGGAGTATTTTGTATGTTGTTGTACAGTTGTAGGGAGTATTATCTGTTACATAAGGGTGAGTTGTTGTACAGTTGTAGGGAATATTATCCATTACATAAGGGTGAGTTGTTGCACAGTTGTAGGGAGTATTATCCATTAAATAAGGGCGAGTTGTTGTACTCTTGTAGGGAGTATTATATTTTACATACGGGTGAATTGTTGTACAGTTGTAGGGAGTATTATTCGTTATATAAGGGTAAGTAGTTGTACAGTTGTAGGGAGTATTATCTGTTACATAAGGGTGAGTTGTTATACAGTTGTAGGGAGTATTATCTGTTTCATAAGGGTGAGTTGTTGCACAGTTGTAGGGAGTATTATCTGTTACATAAGGGTGAGTTGTTGTACAGTTGTAGGGAGTATTATCCGTATGTTGTTGTACAGTTGTAGGGAGTATTATCCGTATGTTGTTGTACAGTTGTAGGGAGTATTATCTGTTACATAAGGGTGAGTTGTTGTACAGTTGTAGGGAATATTATCCTATGTTGTTGTACAGTTGTAGGGAGTATTATCCATTACATAAGGGTGAGTTATTGTACAGTTGTAGGGAGTATTATAGTACGAATATAGTCCTGTATCTCTCACTGTTTATTTGGTTAAATGGAGGTTTAAACTGCCAGAAAAATGTGTTCCTTGTACATGAATTGTCCTTGCATTTATTTTCTGTGTTGATGACATGTCCCATTTCAGAACCCACTGCTACTTCATGTATTTTTGTACCTTTTCCTAGATTTTTTACCCCACAAACTGCCATTTAACTGATGTAAAACTATGTTAAATATTTACCACAGGTACTACCCACCAAACCAATTATTAGAAAAAAACTGAAAACCTGTCATTTGCTTTTTAACATGTGTTTTCATACAACTTCAAACGCAAAGACTAGAACAAGGTCAAATCCATCCTTCCTTTCCCCTCTGTCCACGGGGCCATTACAGCCAAATTTATTGCTGAGAATTCTGTTTTAGATCCATTCGCATTCCTCTGTGTGATGTATGTGCCTGGTTCAGCGTACATAAACATTCTTGCGGGCCTATTTGCAGTGCATGATGGGAAAATGTCAACAAGTGCACGGAAAGGTAGGGATCCAAATGCACCATCCATCCTCGGACACCTCTCCCGATTATTAAAGATTATGACAGCGGAGTTTACAAGGAGCGGAGAGCCAAAGAAATGTCTTTATAATTTGGGGAGAGGAGGTGATGGTGATGAGGGAGAATTTTAAAATGGGAAATTATCAATAGTCTGTGGGAACTATTTGTATTCTCATGACAATAACAGAAATAATAATAATAATAATAATAGTGGGGACGTTTTCCTATAACATCATATTGATTTTAATTAAAGGTTCAGTATGTAACTTTTCTGCCACCTGCTTGTAAAAATGGAGATGTTATTGTTTTACGGTAGGACATTGAACTCTATATTTTAGTTATGCTATTAAAACTACATTGCGCAACTTTTTTGTCTTAAAAAATAAAACTAAAAAGCATGTTATGTTTTTCCTTGTTGTTTTTTGCATTGAAAAACCTAGAAAAATGTGTCCCTGCTGTGAGCGAACCTGCATCTCCACAAGCCTGACTCTTATTTAATTGTTTCCAGAAAGTTACATATTGTACCTTTAAAGGTGCACTGTGTAACTTTTCTAGTGGATGGTCCCCCATCTGCTTATCTCCATGTATTTGCTTTACCTCAGTATGGTATTTAAAATTATATATATCTTGTAATTATTCAATTATGGGTGCTTTTATTTCCAAAACTAGCACAAAAACACTGCGTTATTATTGTGAGTGGGCCCACTTCTCCACAGATCTGACCTGTAACTTGGCCTGATGATATCGTCTGTCTGTCTCCATGAAGATAGTAAAATGAAATGCCATACATTCCTGGAAAAAAAAAAAGCATCTTTAATCATACGAAGACATTCATCTTGTGTTGTACTCTCTTATCTCTGGGACTGTCTTGGTTAAATAAGGATAAACACAGATTTCAGTTACATGAGATTTATTACTCTAAAAATACCTTAAAAAACACACATTTTTACTGTGAGTGCAGTCACTTCTCCACAGATCTGACCTGTAACTACCTTGTCCAGGTGAAGTCCAAGGGAAGTTGTTTACACGGAGAAGGAAAAGTGTGCTGAAAAAACAATACTTGCCATACTAAACAGAAATTAAATTGTACCAGAGATATTTGAATACATATATTTTTTGGAGTTTTTGAATGAATTATACAAGTGTCTTTTGTCCCATGTCCAAATCAGTAAAGCCATTTTATAAGAGCTTGCTTTGGCTTTTGTATTTTTGGAACACAAAGCAAATCATTTTAACATTTTTAACACACCTTTAATGACTTCTTATACAGGTCCATGGATTGTGCCAAATTCCTGTAATAATGTAAGTAAGATATTGCCTTTATCCATTATGTCTTTGTGGGGTCATTAAAGATTTTATAAGTTTATTTTCAGTTTATTTGTGCAGTGTTGACTTCTTGATGCACATGAACACTGAATATTTTATGCAGATTTACCCACTTTATATAATATTTCAATGCCAAAACTTCTCAAATTCTCCGTTGAAATTAATGGGATTCCTGCTTAACTGGAAGTACCACCACAAAGAAAACAAAATTCAGTCACATTTACAGCAAAAGTGGGTGGGGCAAGAGTGGGCTGGTGGAATAACTTCAATAAAATCTAAATTTGGAACATACAGTATCTCACTCATATTTTGTGTTGACGTCTTACTCTGTCTTTCCACTAGATGTCAGCGTAGACCACTGAATACCTCCCAGTTCCTGCACGTGTGTCTGCAGTCTGCAACTCTTAAGTGATAAAAGTGTAGAATTTAAAGCTGCACTGTGTATTTTTTTCTTCTGAAAGGTATGCCACAGGCTTGTCTCCATGGAGATGTTATCACTTTGCCTTGAAGGAATCAATTACAATTACAAGTTCGTTTGCTTAAATGCATGGTTTTATAGTAGCAACAGCTTATAAACATGGGGAACTACATATGCCATGATTCATTTCAGCTCAGACAACATGAAGAGATATGTTTTTTAGTTTAATTCTTGGGATTTTGACGAAAATAATTCACATCAAAATCTTGTCAAGGAATTTTAAAAGCTAAAAAGTGTCCTACAATCTACAATGATAGCTTATTATATCTTCAAAATATCGCAATAAATAATATCGTGATAATATTGTACCATGAGATTTGGATATCATTACATCCCTACATATTTCAAATTTATACAATATTTCTCTTTTTTTCATTTTTTTTTTTTTTTTTTTTTTTTTTTTT